CACTCTTACACACACTCACACACACACTCACACACACTCACACACACACTCACACTCACACACTCACGCTCACACACTCACACACTCACACACACACACTCTTACACACACACTCTTACACACTCACACACACTCACACACCCACACACCCACACACTCTCACACACTCACACACACACTCACACACACCCACATACCCACACACACACTCACACACACACACACACACTCTTACACTCACACACACACACACACTCTCACACTCACACACACACTCTCACACTCACACACACGCTCACACACTCTCACACACACTCACACACACACACACACTCACACTCACACACACTCTCTCACACTCACGCTCACACACACACACACACACTCTCACACTCACACACACACTCTCACACTCACACACACACTCTCACACTCACACACACGCTCACACACTCACGCTCACACACACTCACACACACACACTCACACACACTCACACACACACTCACACACACACACTCACACACACACACACACACACACACACACACACACACACACACTCACTCTCAAACTCACACACACTCACACACACACTCACACACACTCACACACACACTCACACACTCACGCTCACACACTCACACACTCACACACACACACACTCTTACACACACTCACACACACACTCACACACACTCACACTCACACACTCACGCTCACACACTCACACACTCACACACACACACACTCTTACACACACACTCTTACACACTCACACACACTCACACACACACTCACACCCACACACACTCACACACTCACACACACACTCACACACACACACTCACACACACACTCACACACACCCACATACCCACACACACACTCACACACACTCACACACACTCTTACACACACACACACACACTCTTACACACACACTCTCACACACACTCACACACACTCACACACACTCACACACACACACTCACTCACACTCACACACTCACACACACACACTCTAACACACTCACACACACACTCACACACACACACTCACACACACACTCACACACACCCACATACCCACACACACACTCACACACACTCACACACACTCTTACACTCACACACACACACACTCTCACACTCACACACACACTCTCACACTCACACACACGCTCACACACTCTCACACACACTCACACACACACACACTCTCACACTCACACACACTCGCTCACACTCACGCTCACACACACACACTCTCACACTCACACACACACTCTCACACTCACACACACGCTCACACACTCACGCTCACACACACTCACGCTCACACACTCACACACACTCACACACTCACGCTCACACACACACTCACGCTCACACACACACACACTCACACACACACTCACGCTCAAACTCACACACACTCACACACACACTCACACACACTCACACACACACTCACACACTCACGCTCACACACTCACACACTCACACACACACACACTCTTACACACACTCACACACACACTCACACACACTCACACACACACTCACACACTCACGCTCACACACTCACACACTCACACACACACACACTCTTACACACACTCACACACACACACACACACACTCACACACACACTCACACACTCACGCTCACACACTCACACACTCACACACACACACACTCTTACACACTCACACACACTCACACACCCACACACCCACACACTCTCACACACTCACACACACACTCACACACACCCACATACCCACACACACACTCACACACACTCACACACACTCTTACACTCACACACACACACACACTCTCACACTCACACACACACTCTCACACTCACACACACGCTCACACACTCTCACACTCACACACACACACTCTCACACTCACACACACTCGCTCACACTCACGCTCACACACACACACACTCTCACACTCACACTCTCACACTCACACACACGCTCACACACTCACGCTCACACACACTCACGCTCACACACTCACACACACTCACACACTCACGCTCACACACACACTCACGCTCACACACACACACTCACACACACACTCACGCTCAAACTCACACACACTCACACACACACTCACACACACTCACACTCACACACTCACGCTCACACACTCACACACTCACACACACACACACTCTTACACACACTCACACACACACTCACACACACTCACACACACACTCACACACTCACGCTCATACACTCACACACTCACACACACACACACTCTTACACACACACTCTTACACACTCACACACACTCACACACACACTCTTACACACACACTCACACACACACACTTACACACACACTCACACTCACACACACTCACACACACACACACTCTCACACTCACTCACACACACACACGCTCACACACTCACGCTCACACGCTCGCTCAAGACGCAGCGACCGTTTGCAAAACCCCCTTGCCTGCGGGTCTCCGTCCGAGAAGCCGTCCCTCCGGCCACTGAAGAGGTAAACGGCTCCGGCCCCGTCGTCTCCCTCCCCCGGGGCCCCGATGGCCACGTCCGGCCACCCGTCCCCCGTCACGTCGCCCATGGAGGCCATGGCCGAGCCGAAGCGCGCCCGGAGGCCGCCGCCGCCCCGGCCGCCGCCGCCGCCGCCGAGCTCCTGGGAGAGGTTGAAGCGGCCCTGGTGGGGGCGAGGGTGAGGGGGGTAAGACGGAGGCAAGGAAAAAGTGGAGGGTAAAGATCCACCCCGCGTGGCGCTGTCCTACCAGACAGTCTCGTCCCTTCACCTGATGAAGGCCGCTCGTGTTGTGGCCGAAACGTCGTGTTAGAATATTATTATTGTGTTATTATTTTATTTTATAAATTCATTATTTTATTATTCTCATTCTACGTGGTTGGTGGTGGTGGTGGTGACTTTACCGAAAGAACCAAAGAAGATGAATCCTTGCAGTCACGAAAGCTTTAAATCGAAATTTAAGTGGCTGTTAGTTGGCGAGTTGGTTCAGCATCACGACCACACTATGACACATTCAACAACAACAACAACAGCAGCACCAACAACAACCAGCGCCATTCGCCACTAACCGGCGGTGACGTCACCACGACGCTTGTGCCAGGCCATGTGCACATTGAGGCCACGTGAAGTGTCGAACGCCCGCTGGCAGGAGGTCACGGGGCAGACCCAGGTGCCACGGGTCGACAGACTGAGATGAGTGGCTGATGCACCACCTGTGCCCCCTACTGTGCCAACTTGCTGTGCTTTAGCCACCCGGCGCTCCGCTCGTTGTTGTGAGCGTCGCTCCTCCGCCCTCCGTTGTTGTTGGAGGGCGACTGCCTCCAACTGCCCAGTAGCATCCTTCACGAGCCTCCTCCACAGAGGCCGATCTTGACACCGCTGGTACCAGTCATCGACAAGTCCACTCAGCTCCACGTCCTCCTGTACCACATAACTCCATCTCTTCTCCAGCCCGTGCCACGCCCGTTTAGCCCCCTCGATCCGGCCGAACAAAAGCTGTTTCGGCATGCAGTGGCTGGGCATGCGGGCTACATGACCCAGCCATCGCAGCCTTGCCTGCCGGAGGAGCTCACCGATGGGACCTTGTCCAGATCTTTCAAGGATTTGTGAGCTCCTCATACAATCCAGCCTGGTTAATCCCAGGATGGATCGTAGACAGGCCAGCCTAAATGTTTCTAACCGGCGAAGATGCTCCATTAGGTGGGTTCACGTTTCGCAAGCGTAGAGAAGGGAGGGAATGACCATGGCCGAGAAGACCTGAAGCTTCGTGTGGAGCGACAGACCTGGTAGCTTCCAGACAGCGTTACGCAACCGATGAAAAGATATTGCCGCTCGACTGATTCGGAGTGAGACCTCTGCTGTTAAACTGGAGCCGGTCATAAGCACACTGCCCAGGTATGGGAAACTCTCCACTCTCTCCACAACTGCCCCATCACCGATTGGGAGTTGTGAGGGTGGAGTGTCCGATGGTACAAAATTCCCAGGCAGGTGCTTAGTTTTGGTGAGGCTGATGGTAAGGCCCCACCTCTTAGTGGCACACTCCAGATTCAGCAGCAGCGTCTCCAACTCCTCCTCTGAGTGAGCAGCAATTACCAGATCATCGGCATGCATAACGTGGTTGGATAATATGGAGTCATCCCTTGACCGCACCGAGGCATTGATCAGCCATCCACTGTATCTGTACCAGATGGAAACTCGTCCGGTACAACTATTGAAGGCTTCACGAACTACGTGGTCGAAATAGATGTTAAATAATGTGGGAGCCAGAGGACATCCCTGTCGCACCCCAGGGTGTACAGGCAATGGCTCTGACTCCCGGCCACGTAGTTTTACCCGGGCCTGCTCACCATCATGAAGGTCCTTAATGATCGTGAGCAGAGGGTCAGGGACTCCAAAAGCACAAAGAACAACCCAGTGCCCAGGCCTACTGATGCTATCATAGGCCTTGACCAGTTCAATAAAGCAGTGATGATGGTCTTGTGGGAATTCCCTACACCTCTGCTGTAGCAGACATAAAATATGGCATCTGTGCAGGACCGCCCTTTCCTGAAACCGCATTGGGGCTCCACAAGCCTCTCAGCGTGCCTGGCAAGGCGGTATTTAATAATCCTTGCCTGGACTTTTCCCGGCACACTGAGGAGTAAGATGCCTATTTAGTTGTTACGGTCTGTGCGGTCCCCCAATCCTGCAGAACCCGTCCAGTGGTCCAGACTGTTGTTGTGATGTCATATAGGGCAGTCTGTGCACAAATGCGACCCTCCCTCAGCATTTCGCTTGGGAGATCATCTCTGTCCGGTGCTTTTCCTGGTCTCAGACTCTGGATCGCCTTCAGTACTTCCTCAGGCAGCCACTCACATGGGGTGACTTTTTATTCCAATATTTGAGGCACTGCAACCTCAGCAGGGTCATCCCTACTTTGCTGAGCGATGTTTTCCTGGCTGAGAGATTTCTCCTCCCACAGGACCTCACAGAAATGCTCAGAAAATCTGCAAACCTGTTCCTGGGGGGTCGCAGATTGGGTCACCGTTCTTTCCCCAGTGATGGTAATAGGTGGGGCGCTGATCACGGGCCATTGAGGCAGACTCCATCTCCTCAGCAACCTGCGACCTCCACCCATCCTTGCAGCGCCTCACGGCTCTCCGAACCTCTGAGCGAAGGCTGCGGTAAGCCTCCTCATTCTTTGATCTGGGATTCTGTAACCGATGACAGTGGGCCTGTCGCTTTTTCTCAGTCAGCCTGAACACCTCCTCTGTGAGCCAGGGTCTCTGGGGAGGTCTGGACCGCGTACCCAAAGCAGCCATTGCAGCTGCATGAGCCACAGTCCTAAACCTCGCCCATTTCCCCTCGACATCAGGAGGAGTGGGGGACGATGCCAAACCCAGCCGCAAGCGATGATTAAATTCTCACCTGCAATTTCCATCTGCTAACTGAGACCAGGCCACTATTGGTTTGAATGGGGTCCTGGGTGTACACCCACCACCGGAGTGGAAGAATGGCAGGCGCATCTTGCAGATGACTAGTCGATGGTCAGTGGACAGATCAGCTCCACGGTAGGTCCTGGGGTCAAGGACATGGGCTCGCATCCGCTGGTCCATCACTATGTAGTCCAGCAGATGTTCTTGCTTGGACCCGGCATGTATCCATGATGTTGGAACAGGGTGTTGGTAATTACAAGCCCATGGGCTTCACAAAAATTCTAGCAGCCTCCTGCCATTGCCCATGCCCTCCAATCACTCCAGACCAGGTGCCAGTATCATGACCAACTCGGGCATTGAAGTCACCCAACAAGATGACTCTATCCCGAGGGGCCACTTTAGCCAGCACCTGTGACAGGAAGTCATAGAAGGCATCTGACTCATCGGCTTTGCCTGCATCCCTCCACGGATGTTCATCTTCGGTGGGGGCATAAGTAACCACGACCACCACTCCTCACCTCCGTTTGATGGGAAGGCGAGCCCAAAGTAGCCTGGGGCTTACAGCTTCCCACACCTCACCACCACACTCCCACGCCCCGTTCATTCTTTTGTTCAGAAGAAGAGCCTCTCCTTGTTGTTTGGTAGTCTCCTGCCCCGAGTAGAGGACTGTCCATCCCTCACGGTGGAAGGAGCCAGAACCGTTCCACCGGACCTCCTGAATGCCACATAGATCCAGGCGGTACCGGTCCAGCTCCCGACAGAGTAGTGGCAGCCTCTCCTCCGCAGTGAGCTTTCGAACATTCAACGTGGCCATCTGGAGTGGTTTTTTGTTGTTTCTGGAGGAGCCCCGAGGGTAAAGATTCAGTCTCCTGGCTCCGCCAAATGGGGTTTGGTCAGGAGACGTCATAGACTGATGTCCATACACACACAAAGACAAAGATCCCCTGTATAACCTTAACAGACTGTAGGGGCAAGTGCTGTTAGCGAGCAGCACCTATGAAGGCCGGCACGGCACACGAGGGGGTGGGTGGCCAGCACCACGCCCGACCGCCTTTGTCTCCCCAGTGGCGATGTTTACACACCGCACCAGGTACTCATTTGAGGCTGAGTCGACCTAGGGGAGGCCCAGGACCGGTTCAGATTAATCGTCGCTGATGGCGTTGCCCGTGAGCGGGAATCGAACCCGGGTCGCCAGGTTCATAGCGCAGCGTAGCGCTAACCGCTACACTATCGCTCCCCCCATCCCCCATCCCCCACACACCTACACAAACACACAACAATATAGATACACACACATAGACACACACATACATAGACACACCCATACATACATAGACACACATAGACACACACACATAGACAGACACACATACATAGACACACACACACAGACACACACATAGACACACACACACATAGACACACACACACACAGACACACACGCCTACACAAACACACACGCCAAACTCACACAAACTAAACACAAACTCACACAAACTCACACAAACTCACACAAACTCACGCAAACTCACACAAACTCACACAAACTAAACACAAACTCACACAAACTCACGCAAACTCACACAAACTCACACAAACTAAACACAAACTCATACAAACTCACACAAACTCACACATACTAAACACAAACTAACACAAACTCACACAAACTAAACACAAACTCACACAAACTCACACAAACTCACACAAACTAAACACAAACTCACACAAACTCACGCAAACTCACACAAACTCACACAAACTAAACACAAACTCATACAAACTCACACAAACTCACACAAACTAAACACAAACTAACACAAACTCACACAAACTAAACACAAACTCACACAAACTAAACAATCACACAAACTCACACAAACTCACACAAACTAAACACAAACTCACACAAACTAAACACAAACTCACACAAACTCACCACAAACTCACACAAACTCACACAAACTAAACACAAACTCACACAAACTAAACACAAACTCACACAAACTCACACAAACTCACACAAACTAAACACAAACTCACACAAACTCACACAAACTAAACACAAACCCACGCAAAGTCACACAAACTCACACAAACTAAACACTCACACAAACTCACACAAACTCACACAAACTAAACACAAACTCACACAAACTAAACACAAACTCACACAAACTCACCACAAACTCACACAAACTCACACAAACTCACACAAACTAAACACAAACTCACACAAACTCACACAAACTCACACAAACTCACACAAACTAAACACAAACTCACACAAACTCACACAAACTAAACACAAACTAACACAAACTCACACAAACTCACACAAACTCATGCAAACTCAACACAAATTCACACAAACTCACACAAACTCACACAAACTCACACAAACTCACACAAACTAAACACAAACTCTCACAAACTAAACACAAACTCACACAAACTAAACACAAACTCACGGAAACTCACACAAACTCACACAAACTCACACAAACTCACACAAACTCACACAAACTCACACAAACTAAACACAAACTCACACAAACTCACACAAACTCACACAAACTAAACACAAACTCACACAAACTCACACAAACTCACACAAACTCAACACAAACTCACACAAACTCAACACAAACTCACACAAACTCACACAAACTCACACAAACTAAACACAAACTCACACAAACTCACATAAACTCACACAAACTAAACACAAACTCACACAAACTCACCCAAACTCACACAAACTAAACACAAACTCACACAAACTAAACACAAACCCACACAAACTCACCACAAACTCACACAAACTAAACACAAACTCACACAAACTAAACACAAACTCACACAAACTCTCACAAACTAAACACAAACTCACACAAACTAAACACAAACTCACACAAACTCACACAAACTCACACAAACTCACACAAACTCACACAAACTAAACACTCACACAAACTCACACAAACTCACACAAACTAAACACAAACTCACACAAACTCACACAAACTAAACACAAACTCACACAAACTCACACAAACTAAACACAAACTCACACAAACTCACACAAACTCACACAAACTCACACAAACTCACACAAACTCACACAAACTAAACACAAACTCACACAAACTCACACAAACTAAACACAAACTCACATAAACTCACACAAACTCACACAAACTCACACAAACTCACACAAACTAAACACAAACTCACACAAACTCACACAAACTCAACACAAACTCACACAAACTCACACAAACTCACACAAACTAAACACAAACTCACACAAACTCACACAAACTCACACAAACTCACACAAACTCACACAAACTCACGTCGTAAGCGCGCCTGTACACGTAGACGCGTCCCTCCTCGCCGTGCGTGTGGTAGAAGGGCGCCGATACCAGCAGAAGGGCCGTGCCTGATCCTCCCTGCTCCTGCTCCACTGCGCAGAGGACGGCTCCAAAGTACGAGCCCAGCTGTTGGACGCCCAGTAGACAGTAGGAGCAGCAGAGGCGGTGAGAAGTGGGGGGGGAGGGGTGGTGGTGGTGGTGGGGGTGGTGGTGGTGGTGGTGCTGGTGGTGGTGGTGGAGGTGGTGGTGGTGGTGGGGGTGGTGGTGGTGGTGGGGGTGGTGGTGGTGGTGGAGGTGGTGGTGGTGGTGGTGGTGGGGGTGGTGGTGGTGGGGGTGGTGGTGGTGGGGGTGGTGGGGGTGGTGGTGGTGGGGGTGGTGGTGGTGTGGGTGGTGGTGGTGGTGTGGGTGGTGGTGAGCTTCTCGTCGCCGATATTATCGGTAGCTAGAGGAGGTGGTCGTTTACCTTCTACGTGACTCAAAGCAAACATGAAACTAATTATTATTCTTGGTTCCTTCGGTAAAGTCACCACCACCACTACTATACACTATACACTACTATACACTACACACTACTATACACTATACACTACTATACACTATACACTACTATACACTATACACTACTATACACTATACACTACACTACACTATACACTACACTATACACTACACACTACTATACACTACACTATACACTACACTATACACTACACTATACACTACTATACACTATACACTACTATACACTATACACTACTATACACTACACTATACACTACACTATACACTACACACTACTATACACTACTATACACTACACTATACACTACTATACACTATACACTACTATACACTATACACTACTATACACTACACTATACACTACACTATACACTACACTATACACTACACTATACACTACTATACACTACTATACACTATACACTACTATACACTATACACTACTATACACTACACTATACACTACACTATACACTACACACTACTATACACTACACTATACACTACACTATACACTACACACTACTATACACTATACACTACACTATACACTACACACTACTATACACTACACTACACACTACTATACACTACACTATACACTACACTATACACTACACTATACACTACACACTACTATACACTATACAGTACACTATACACTACACACTACTATACACTACACTATACACTACACTATACACTACACTATACACTACACACTACTATACACTACACTATACACTACACTATACACTACACTATACACTACTATACACTATACACTACTATACACTATACACTACTATACACTACACTATACACTACACTATACACTACACACTACTATACACTACTATACACTACACTATACACTACACTATACACTACACTATACACTACTATACACTATACACTACTATACACTATACACTACTATACACTATACACCACTATACACTATACACTACACTACACTATACACTACACTATACACTACACACTACTATACACTACACTATACACTACACTATACACTACACTATACACTACACTATACACTACACACTACTATACACTATACACTACACTATACACTACACACTACTATACACTATACACTACACTATACACTACACTATACACTACTATACACTACTATACACTATACACTACTATACACTACACTATACACTACACTATACACTACACACTACTATACACTACTATACACTACACTATACACTACACACTACTATACACTACACTATACACTACACTATACACTACACTATACACTACACTATACACTATACACTACTATACACTATACACTACTATACACTACACTATACACTACACTATACACTACACACTACTATACACTACACTATACACTACACTATACACTACACTACACAATACACTGTCCACGACTATGGTCCTCACCTGATGTCCTGGCAGGGTCTGGTAGATCATGAGCTTGGAGTCGGAGGAGCGGATGTCGAAGAGATAGACGGTGCCCGTGTGGTGGCTGTGAGGGGCTCCAGTCGCGAGCAAGCTGATCGAGCTCAGCTTGACCTGGATGAGCGAGTAGCCTGCACATCGTCATCGTCATCATCGTCATCATCACCGAACTTCTTGATAATACCGGCGTACACTCGGCGCCACTACCCATGGACTCAACACCGCACCGTAGACACAACACTGCACCATAGACTCAACACTGCACCATAGACTCAGCACTGCACCATAGACTCAACACTACACCATAGACTCAGCACTACACCATAGACTCAGCACTGCACCATAGACTCAACACTGCACCATAGACTCAGCACTACACCATAGACTCAGCACTGCACCGTAGACACAACACTGCACCATAGACTCAGCACTGCACCGTAGACACAACACTGCACCATAGACTCAACACTGCACCATAGACTCAACACTGCACCGTAGACACAACACTGCACCATAGACTCAACACTGCACCATAGACTCAGCACTGCACCGTAGACACAACACTGCACCATAGACTCAACACTGCACCATAGACTCAACACTGCACCATAGACTCAGCACTGCACCATAGACTCAACACTACACCGTAGACTCAGCACTGCACCGTAGACTCAGCACTGCACCATAGACTCAACACTGCACCATAGATTCAACACTGCACCATAGACTCAGCACTGCACCATAGACTCAGCACTGCACCATAGACTCAGCACTACACCATAGACTCAGGACTGCACCATAGACTCAGGACTGCACCATAGACTCAACACTGCACCATAGATTCAACACTGCACCGTAGACTCACCACTGCACCAAAGACTCACCACTACACCATAGACTCAACACTGCACCATAGACTCAACACTGCACCATAGACTCAACACTGCACCATAGACTCAACACTGCACCATAGACACAACACTGCACCATAGACTCAACACTGCACCATAGACACAACCCTACACCATAGACTCAGCACTGCACCATAGACTCAGCACTGCACCATAGACTCAACACTGCACCATAGACTCAACACTGCACCATAGACTCAACACTGCACCATAGACTCAACCCTGCACCATAGACTCAGCACTGCACCGTAGACACAACACTGCATCATAGACTCAACACTGCACCATAGACTCAGCACTGCACCATAGACTCAACACTGCACCATAGACTCAGCACTGCACCATAGACTCAACACTGCACCAAAGACTCAACACTGCACCATAGACTCAGCACTGCACCATAGACTCAGCACTGCACCATAGACTCAACACTGCACCATAGACTCAACACTGCACCATAGACTCAGCACTGCACCATAGACTCAGCACTGCACCATAGACTCAACACTGCCTATAGACTCAGCACTGCACCATAGACTCAACACTGCACCATAGACTCAACACTGCACCATAGACTCAACACTGCACCATAGACTCAACACTGCACCATAGACTCAGCACTGCACCATAGACTCAACACTGCCTATAGACTCAGCACTGCACCATAGACTCAACACTGCCTATAGACTCAGCACTGCACCATAGACTCAACACTGCACCATAGACTCAACACTGCACCATAGACTCAACACTGCACCATAGACTCTACACTGCCCATAGACTCAACACTGCACCATAGACTCAGCACTGCCCATAGACTCAACACTGCACCATAGACTCAACACTGCTACCCATAGACTCAACACTGCACCATAGACTCAGGCACACACAAGGGGGCGAATGAGTCAGTCGTGTTGGGCACTAAAGGTGTTTAAAATTCAATGATTATGAAAGCAGCCTGGTAGGATGTACTGTGAGCGTAGGGGTAAGGGGGTAGTGATAGGGGGTGGGGATAGAGGTTGGGATATAGTGATAGTGGTAGTGATAGGTTTATTTTTGGTAGGGGGGTAGTGATAGGGGTAGTGATAGGGGTAGTGATAGGGGTAGTGATAGGGGTAGTGGTAGGGGTAGTGATAGGGGTAGTGGTAGGGGTAGTGATAGTGGTACTGATAGGGGTAGTGATAGGGGTAGTGGTAGTGGTAATGGTAGTGGTAGGGGTAGTGATAGTGGTAGTGATAGTGATCGTGATAGGGGTAGTGATAGGGGTAGTGGTAGGGGGTAGTGATAGGGCTAGTGATAGGGGGTATGGATAGGGGTAGTGATAGTGATAGGGGCAGTGATAGGGGTAGTGATAGGGGTAGTGATAGTGGTAGTGATAGGGGTAGTGGTAGGGGTAGTGATAGTGGTAGGGGTAGTGATAGTGGTAGTGATAGGGGTAGTGATAGGGGGTAGTGATAGGGGTAGTGATAGGGGTAGTGATAGTGGTACTGATAGGGGTAGTGATAGGGGTAGTGATAGGGGTAGTGGTAGGAGTAGTGATAGTGGTACTGATAGGGGTAGTGATAGGGGTAGTGGTAGTGGTAATGGTAGTGGTAGGGGTAGTGATAGTGGTAGTGATAGTGATCGTGATAGGGGTAGTGATAGGGGTAGTGGTAGGGGGTAGTGATAGGGGTAGTGATAGGGATAGTGATAGGGGTAGTGGTAGGGGTAGTGATAGGGGTAATGATAGGGGAAGTGATAGGGGTAGTGATAGGTGTAGTGAAAGGGGAAGTGATAGGGGTAGTGATAGGGGTAGTGATAGTGATAGGGGTAGTGATAGGGGTAGTGATAGGGGTAGTGGTAGGGGGTAGTGATAGGGGTAGTGATAGTGGTAGTGATAGTGGTAGGTAGTAGTGATAGGGGTAGTGATAGGGGTAGTGATAGGGGTAGTGATAGTGATCGTGATAGGGGTGGAGGTCGTTATAGAGATATCAGTAGTGATAGCGCCATTGTACCCAGGTAGGAGTCTCTCTCCACGCTCGGCCCTTCCATGTTCTGCCAGTCCAGGGTGGAGTTGGTGCTCGTGATGGATTTCCCGCTGCTGAAATGCCGGACAACGCCCCCCATCCAGCCGTGGGCCCCCACGGCTCCCAACGTGATGGTGCCCTGCACACAGACACAGAGACACCCACAGAGACACCCATAGAGACACAGAGACAACCAGAGCGACACGTAGAGACACAGCGACACCCATAGATAAATGCCCGCTGGCAGGAGGTCACAGGGCAGACCCAGCAGGTGCCACAGGTCGACTGAGATGACTGAGACGACTGGCTGATGCACCACCTGTGCCCCCTGCTGTGCCAACTTGCTGTGCTTTAGCCACCCGGCGCTCCGCTCGTTGTTGTGAGCGTCGCTCCTCCGCCCTCCGTTGTTGTTGGAGGGCGACTGCCTCCAACTGCCCAGTAGCATCCTTCACGAGCCTCCTCCACAGAGGCCGATCTTGACACCGCTGGTACCAGTCATCGGCAAGTCCACTTAGCTCCACGTCCTCCTGTACCACATCACTCCATCTCTTCTCTAGCCCGTGCCGCGCGCGTTTAGCCCCCTGTTTCGGCATGCGGTGGCTGGGCATGCGGGCTACATGACCCAGCCAACGCAGCCTTGCCTGCCGGAGGAGCTCACCGATGGGACCTTGCCAAGATCTTTCACAGATTCGGGAGCTTCTCACACAATTCAGTCTGCGGTTTAAACCCAGGCCGGCCTGAATGTTTCTAACCGGCGAAGATGTTCCATTAGAGGGGTCCACATTTCGCAAGCGTATAGAAGGGAGAGAATGACCGTGGCCGAGAAGACCTGAAGCTTAGTGCGGAGCGACAGACCAGGTAGCTTCCACACAGCGTTACGCAACCGATGAAAAGATATTGCCGCTCGACTGATTCGGAGTGAGACCTCTGCTGTTAAACTGGAGCCAGTCATAAGCACACTGCCCAGGTATGGGAAACTCTCCACTCTCTCCACAACTGCCCCATCACCGATTGGGAGTTGTGGGGGTGGAGTGTCCGATGGTACAAAATACCCAGGCAGGTGCTTAGTTTTGGCAGGGTTGATGGTAAGGCCCCACCTCTTAGTGGCACGCTCCAGTCTCAGCAGCAGCGTCTCCAACTCCTCCTCTGAATGAGCAGCTATTACCAAATCATCAGCATACATAACGTGGTTGAGCAATAGGGAGCCATCCCTTGACGGCACCCGGGCATCGATCAGCCTCCAATTATATCTGTACCAAATGGAGATTCCCCGGTACAGCTATTGAAGGCTTCACGAACTACGTGGTCAAAATAGATGTTAAATAATGTGGGAGCCAGAGGACATCCCTGTCGCACCCCAAGGTGTACAGGGAACGGCTCTGACTCCTGGCCATGTAGCTTTAACCAGGCCAGCCCACCATCGTGAAGGCCTGAAATGGTTTATCAAATCTTTCCAATGATTGCTAAGCCAGAATCCATCTTCTCGGTTGAAATTGTCTCTGTGCTTGTATATGTGGATAGCCTCATGAACGAATCTCTCATGGTAGCCTTGACCAGGTCAATATATCGGAGATGTAGATCTTGTGGGAATTCTCTACACCTCTGCTGTAACACACACTCGTATATACACACACACACACAAACACTCACAAACAGTTACACAGGCCCAGCGAAATGGAATTAAACGGAGGCTCTCCCGAGTATTTGAATTGAGGATTTGAATGGAAGATTTGAATGAAGGTTCCTCACCTTATTGATGACCGCGCTCATGCCAGTAGCTGCCAGCTCCATCTCAAACGTGGACAGGTCACCGCTCGCTCCTGAGACGCCGAGACACACAAACAGATACACACACACACACAGGTGGTGAACTAGAGACACACACACAGACACACACACAGACACACACACACACAGGTGGTGAACTAGACACACAAACAGATACACACACACACACAGGTGGTGAACTAGACACACACACACAGACACACACACAGACAGGTGGTGAACTAGAGACACACACACAGACACACACACACATACAGGTGGTGAACTAGAGACACACACACAGACACACACACAGACACACACACACACACAGGTGGTGAACTAGAGACACACACACACAGACACACACACACACAGACACACACACAGGTGGTGAACTAGACACACACACAGACACACACACAGACACACAGACACATACAGGTGGTGAACTAGACACACACACAGACACACACACAGACACACAGACACAGACACATACAGGTGGTGAACTAGAGACACACACAGACACACAGACACACACACAGACACACACACAGGTGGTGAACTAGACACACACACAGACACACACACAGGTGGTGAACTAGACACACACACACAGACACACACACACACACAGACACATACAGGTGGTGAACTAGAGACACACACACAGACACACACACAGACAGGTGGTGAACTAGAGACACACACAGACACACACACAGACACACACACAGGTGGTGAACTAGAGACACACACACAGACACACACACACACACACAGGTGGTGAACTAGAGACACACACACACAGACACACACACAGACACACACACAGGTGGTGAACTAGACACACACACAGACACACACACAGACACACAGACACATACAGGTGGTGAACTAGAGACACACACACACAGACACACACACACAGACACACACACAGGTGGTGAACTAGACACACACACACACAGACACACACACAGACACACAGACACATACAGGTGGTGAACTAGAGACACACACACAGACACACACACAGACAGGTGGTGAACTAGAGACACACACACAGACACACACACACAGACACACACACAGACAGGTGGTGAACTAGAGACACACACTGACACACACACAGACACACACACACACAGGTGGTGAACTAGAGACACACACACACAGACACACACACAGACACACACAGTTGGTGAACTAGACACACACACAGACACACACACAGACACACAGACACAGACAGATACAGGTGGTGAACTAGAGACACACACACAGACATACACACAGACAGGTGGTGAACTAGAGACACACACAGACACACACACAGACACACACACAGGTGGTGAACTAGAGACACACACACAGACACACACACACAGGTGGTGAACTAGAGACACACACAGACACACACACAGACACACACACACACAGGTGGTGAACTAGAGACACACACAGACACACACACAGACACACACACACACAGGTGGTGAACTAGAGACACACACACAGACACACACACACACAGACACACACACAGACAGGTGTTGAACTAGAGACACACACAGACACACACACAGACACACACACACAGGTGGTGAACTAGAGACACACACACACAGACACACACAGACACACACACACAGACACACACACAGACACACACAGGTGGTGAACTAGACACACACACAGACACAGAAGGACACACACACAGACACAGACACACACAGACACACACAGACACACAGACACACACACAGACACACACACACAGACACACACACACAGGTGGTGAACTAGAGACACACACAGACACACACACACACACAGACACACACAAAGACAGGTGGTTACTGTACACTACGCGATACACTACACTGCTATACTATACATTATTATACACTGCACCACCACTAGACATTCCACACTACTATAATATACACTACTTACACTACACTATACACTACACTACTACACAATATAAATGACGCGATATACTACACTATACACTGCTCTATACTACACTATACACTACACTACTGCACACTACTACACCACTAAACATTATACTACTACACCACTATGCACGACTACACTACTATACACTACACAACCACACACTACACTACTACACTATACACTACACTATACACTACACTATACACTGCACTATACACTACACTACTACACTATACACTACACTATACACTACACAACCACACACTACACTATACACTACACTATACACTGCACTATACACTACACTACTACACACTACACTACTATACACTACACTACCACACACTACACCACTACACCACACACTACACCACACACCACACAACCACACACCACACACTACCACACACACTACACTACACCACACACTACACCACACCACCACCACACACTACACCACACACTACACCACTACACCACACACTACACCACTACACCACACACTACACCACTACACCACACACCACACACCACACACTACTCTACACTACCACACACCACCACACCACACACTACACCACTACCACACCACCACCAACACCACAACACACACACCACCACACCACACACTACACCACACACCACACCACACACCACACACTACAATACTACACACTACACACACTACACCACTACCACCCCACCACTACACTACACCACACCACACCACACACTACACACACTACACACGCTACACACACTACACACGCTACACACACTACACACACTACACCACCACCACACCACACACCACACACTACACCACCACACTACACCACCACCACACCACACACCACACCACCACTACCACACACTACACCACACCACACCACACACTACACACACTACACCACACACTACACCACACCACACCACACACTACACACACTACACCACCACCACACCACACACACTACACCACTACCACACACCACACACTACAACACTACACAACACTACCACACACACTACCACACTACACACCACCACCACACCACCACCACACCACCACTACACCACACACTACACACACCACACACTACAACACTACACCACACCACCACACCACCACCACACCACACTACAACACACTACACCACTACCACACCACTACCACCACACACTACAATACTACACACTACACAACTACCACACTACCACACCACCACCACCACCCCACACGCGCCCGCGTGGGCAACCTTCAATGCTGAAAATCTTCTCCTCGAGTCTCCGAAGCACGGAGTTGAGTGCGTTGTAGTCGTCCACGGGGAACATGTGTTCACTGTCGGGGTCAGACGCAAGCTGTGTCAGCTCCGCATAGGCAGGGGAGCCCGGCTTGAAGGCATCGCCAACCTTACAACACACAAAGCAAGGGGTTAGAGCCTTGTGTGTAGCTAGAGGCAGCCTCGTGTGTAGGTAGAGGCAGCCTTGTGTGTAGGTAGAGGCAGCCTTGTGTGTAGGTAGAGGCAGCCTCGTGTGTAGGTAGAGCGTTGTGTGTAGGTAGAGGCAGCCTCGTGTGTAGGTAGAGCGTTGTGTGTAGGTAGAGCGTTGTGTGTAGGTAGAGCGTTGTGTGTAGGTAGAGCGTTGTGTGTAGGTAGAGCGTTGTGTGTAGCTAGAGACAGCCTTGTGTGTAGGTAGAGCGTTGTGTGTAGGTAGAGCCTTGTGTGTAGCTAGAGACAGCCTTGTGTGTAGGTAGAGGCAGCCGTGTGTGTAGGTAGAGGCAGCCTTGTGTGTAGGTAGAGGCAGCGTTGTGTGTAGGTAGAGGCAGCCTCGTGTGTAGGTAGAGCGTTGTGTGTAGGTAGAGGCAGCGTTGTGTGTAGGTAGAGCGTTGTGTGTAGGTAGAGACAGCGTTGTGTGTAGGTAGAGGCAGCCTTGTGTGTAGGTAGAGGCAGCCTCGTGTGTAGGTAGAGGCAGCCTTGTGTGTAGCTAGAGGCAGCCTCGTGTGTAGGTAGAGCGTTGTGTGTAGGTAGAGGCAGCCTCGTGTGTAGGTAGAGGCAGCCTTGTGTGTAGGTAGAGCGTTGTGTGTAGGTAGAGGCAGCGTTGTGTGTAGGTAGAGGAAGCCTTGTGTGTAGCTAGAGGCAGCCTTGTGTGTAGGTAGAGGCAGCCTCGTGTGTAGGTAGAGCGTTGTGTGTAGGTAGAGGCAGCCTCGTGTGTAGGTAGAGGCAGCCTCGTGTGTAGGTAGAGGCAGCGTTGTGTGTAGGTAGAGCGTTGTGTGTAGGTAGAGGCAGCCTTGTGTGTAGGTAGAGACAGCCTTGTGTGTAGGTAGAGGCAGCCTTGTGTGTAGGTAGAGCGTTGTGTGTAGGTAGAGGCAGCCTTGTGTGTAGGTAGAGGCAGCCTTGTGTGTAGGTAGAGCGTTGTGTGTAGGTAGAGGCAGCCTCGTGTGTAGGTAGAGGCAGCCTTGTGTGTAGGTAGAGGCAGCCTTGTGTGTAGGTAGAGGCAGCCTTGTGTGTAGGTAGAGCGATGTGTGTAGGTAGAGGCAGCCTTGTGTGTAGGTAGAGGCAGCCTTGTGTGTAGGTAGAGCGTTGTGTGTAGGTAGAGGAAGCCTTGTGTGTAGGTAGAGACAGCCTTGTGTGTAGGTAGAGCGATGTGTGTAGGTAGAGGCAGCCTCGTGTGTAGGTAGAGGCAGCCTTGTGTGTAGGTAGAGCGATGTGTGTAGGTAGAGGCAGCCTTGTGTGTAGGTAGAGACAGCCTTGTGTGTAGGTAGAGGCAGCCTTGTGTGTAGGTAGAGGCAGCCTTGTGTGTAGGTAGAGCCTTGTGTGTAGGTAGAGGCAGCCTTGTGTGTAGGTAGATGCAGCGTTGTGTGTAGGTAGAGGCAGCCTCGTGTGTAGGTAGAGCGTTGTGTGTAGGTAGAGGCAGCCTTGTGTGTAGGTAGAGGCAGCCTTGTGTGTAGGTAGAGCGTTGTGTGTAGGTAGAGACATCGTTGTGTGTAGCTAGAGACAACGTTGTGTGTAGCTAGAGACAACGTTGTGTGTAGCTAGAGACAACGTTGTGTGTAGCTAGAGACAACGTTGTGTGTAGCTAGAGACAACGTTGTGTGTAGCTAGAGACAACGTTGTGTGTAGCTAGAGACAACGTTTGGTGTAGCTAGAGACAACGTTGTGTGTAGCTAGAGACAACGTTGTGTGTAGCTAGAGACAACGTTGTGTGTAGCTAGAGACAACGTTTGGTGTAGCTAGAGACAACGTTGTGTGTAGCTAGAGACAACGTTGTGTGTAGCTAGAGACAACGTTGTGTGTAGCTAGAGACAACGTTGTGTGTAGCTAGAGACAACGTTGTGTGTAGCTAGAGACAACGTTGTGTGTAGCTAGAGACAACGTTGTGTGTAGCTAGAGACAACGTTGTGTGTAGCTAGAGACAACGTTGTGTGCAGCTAGAGACAACGTTGTGTGTAGCTAGAGACAACGTTGTGTGTAGCTAGAGACAACGTTGTGTGTAGCTAGAGACAACGTTGTGTGTAGCTAGAGACAACGTTGTGTGTAGCTAGAGACAACGTTGTGTGTAGCTAGAGACAACGTTGTGTGCAGCTAGAGACAACGTTGTGTATAGCTAGAGACAACGTTGTGTATAGCTAGAGACAACGTTGTGTGTAGCTAGAGACAACGTTGTGTGCAGCTAGAGACAACGTTGTGTGTAGCTAGAGACAACGTTGTGGGTAGCTAGAGACAACGTTGTGTGTAGCTAGAGACAACGTTGTGTGTAGCTAGAGACAACGTTGTGTGTAGCTAGAGACAACGTTGTGTGTAGCTAGAGACAACGTTGTGTGTAGCTAGAGACAACGTTGTGTGTAGCTAGAGACAACGTTGTGTGTAGCTAGAGACAACGTTGTGTGTAGCTAGAGACAACGTTGTGTGTAGCTAGAGACAACGTTGTGTGTAGCTAGAGACAACGTTGTGTGTAGCTAGAGACAACGTTGTGTGTAGCTAGAGACAACGTTGTGTGTAGCTAGAGACAACGTTGTGTGTAGCTAGAGACAACGTTGTGTGTAGCTAGAGACAACGTTGTGTGTAGCTAGAGACAACGTTGTGTGTAGCTAGAGACAACGTTGTGTGTAGCTAGAGACAACGTTGTGTGTAGCTAGAGACAACGTTGTGTGTAGCTAGAGACAACGTTGTGTGTAGCTAGAGACAACGTTGTGTGTAGCTAGAGACAACGTTGTGTGCAGCTAGAGACAACGTTGTGTATAGCTAGAGACAACGTTGTGTGTAGCTAGAGACAACGTTGTGTGTAGCTAGAGACAACGTTGTGTGTAGCTAGAGACAACGTTGTGTGTAGCTAGAGACAACGTTGTGTGTAGCTAGAGACAACGTTGTGTGTAGCTAGAGACAACGTTGTGTGTAGCTAGAGACAACGTTGTGTGTAGCTAGAGACAACGTTGTGTGTAGCTAGAGACATCGTTGTCTCTAGCATCGTTGTCTCTAGCTACACACAACGTTGTCTCTAGCTACACACAACGTTGTCTCTAGCTACACACAACGTTGTGTGTAGCTACACACAACGTTGTGTGTAGCTACACACAACGTTGTGTGTAGGTAGAGTGCCTCAAGCTGTACGTACGCAGATGGCGGCGGCGGGCAGTTAAAAGTTACCGCGTGCCTACTGTGAGGTGCGTTAGCGGTCAAGTTTTGGCGGATTTCAGCGTACTCAACGGAAAGCCCCCTAGGTTCTAGAAAGGTGGGGGGGGGGGGGGGGGGGCGTGGCTACGGTGGGGGGGGTGGGGGCGTGGCCAGTAGGAGAAGTGGGCGTGGCCATGCCGGGAGGATCAAAGGGCCCCCCCCCCCCCCCCCATCATCCCCCCGCTCAGGCGGAGGCTCCGGGGACAATCCCAAGGAGTAGCGATCGGCCTTCGTCCGGGGTCCGCTTCAAAGTCTCCCTCTCACGGCGTTTTCCTTCGGCCCGCTCGGCGTGCCCCCGGTCAGTCCGGCAGCCCAGCCGGCGCCCTCTCCCTCTCTCTCCCTCTCTCAACCTGCCCCCGGGAGTCTGCCGCCGAGGCTGCCAAACGAAGGAGCCACTCCCCCCTTCCCGGAAGCCTCCGGTAGCCCCGTGCGGCTGCAGCTTGAGCGGCTCACCCCGATGGCATAGGTCACCACCCTCTCGGCCTGCGTCCTCCGAATGGCCGCGGCGAGGCCTCCGCCGTTTGACTCTCCGTCCGTCACGACCACGAGGACCTTCTGCGCTCTTGCCTTTGCTCCGCCGGATGGCGTGAAGACTTGATTCCTGCGGGGCAGCGGGGAGGGTCCGGTTCGGGTTTTTTCGCGCTCGCTGAGAAAACCTCCCCCTGTTACAAACCGTTTGCCCTCTCGTGCAGGAGGTCGCACGCACGGGTACCGTGCGAGGTGGTGAGCGTCTCGCGGGGGTCACGGGATCGAACCCACGACCTCCTGCACACCAGGCGAGGTAGTCAACATCTCACGGGGTCACGGGATCGAACCCACGACCTCCTGTACCCCAGGAGAGGTAGTTAACATCTCACAGGGTCACGGGATCGAACCCACGACCTCCTGTACACCAGGCGAGGTAGTTAACATCTCGCGGGGTCACGGGATCGAACCCACGACCTCCTGTACACCAGGAGAGGTAGTTAACATCTCATCAGGGTCACGGGATCGAACCCACGACCTCCTGTATACCAGGCGAGGTAGTCAACATCTCGCAGGGTCACGGGATCGAACCCACGACCTCCTGTACACCAGGCGAGGTAGTTAACATTTCACACAGGTGTAACAGGTGAGAGTGACAACATCTCACACAGGTGTAACAGGTGAGTAGTGACAACATCTCACACAGGTGTAACAGGTGAGTAGTAACAACATCTCTCACAGGTGTAACAGGTGAGAGTGACAACATCTCACAGGTGTAACAGGTGAGAGTGACAACATCTCACACAGGTGTAACAGGTGAGAGTGACAACATCTCACACAGGTGTAACAGGTGAGTAGTAACAACATCTCACAGGGTGTAACAGGTGAGTAGTGACAACATCTCACACAGGTGTAACAGGTGAGAGTGACAACATCTCACACAGGTGTAACAGGTAAGTAGTGACAACATCTCACACAGTTGTAACAGGTGAGTAGTAACAACATCTCACACAGTTGTAACAGGTGAGAGTGACAACATCTCTCAGGGTGTAACAGGTGAGTAGTAACAACATCTCTCACAGGTGTAACAGGTGAGAGTGACAACATCTCTCACAGGTGTAACAGGTGAGAGTGACAACATCTCACACAGGTGTAACAGGTGAGTAGTAACAACATCTCTCACAGGTGTAACAGGTGAGTAGTGACAACATCTCTCACAGGTGTAACAGGTGAGAGTGACAACATCTCTCACAGGTGTAACAGGTGACAGTGACAACATCTCACACAGGTGTAACAGGTGAGAGTGACAACATCTTACACAGGTGTAACAGGTGAGAGTGACAACATCTCACAGGTGTAACAGGTGAGTAGTAACAACATCTCTCACAGGTGTAACAGGTGAGTAGTAACAACATCTCTCACAGGTGAAACAGGTGAGTAGTAACAACATCTCACACAGGTGTAACAGGTGAGTAGTAACAACATCTCACACAGGTGTAACAGGTGAGTAGTGACAACATCTAACGCAGGTGTAACAGGTGAGAGTGACAACATCTCACACAGGTGTAACAGGTGATAGTAACAACATCTCACACAGGTGTAACAGGTGAGTAGTGACAACATCTCTCACAGGTGTAACAGGTGAGCGTGACAACATCTCACACAGGTGTAACAGGTGAGTAGTAACAACATCTCTCATAGGTGTAACAGGTGAGAATGACAACATCTCACACAGGTGTAACAGGTGAGTAGTAACAACATCTCTCACAGGTGTAACAGGTGACAGTGACAACATCTCACACAGGTGTAACAGGTGATAGTGACAACATCTCACACAGGTGTAACAGGTGAGTAGTAACAACATCTCACACAGGTGTAACAGGTGAGTAGTGACAACATCTCTCACAGGTGTAACAGGTGAGTAGTAACAACATCTCACACAGTTGTAACAGGTGAGTAGTAACAACATCTCTCACAGGTGTAACAGGTGAGTAGTAACAACATCTCACACAGGTGTAACAGGTGAGAGTGACAACATCTCACACAGGTGTAACAGGTGAGAGTGACAACATCTCACACAGGTGTAACAGGTGAGTAATAACAACATCTCTCACAGGTGTAACAGGTGAGTAATAACAACATCTCTCACAGGTGTAACAGGTGAGTAGTAACAACATCTCTCACAGGTGTAACAGGTGAGTAGTAACAACATCTCTCACAGGTGTAACGGGTGAGTAGTAACAACATCTCACACAGGTGTAACAGGTGACAGTGACAACATCTCTCACAGGTGTAACAGGTGAGTAGTGACAACATCTCTCACAGGTGTAACAGGTGAGTAGTAACAACATCTCACAGGTGTAACAGGTGATAGTGACAACATCTCTCACAGGTGTAACAGGTGAGTAGTAACAACATCTCTCACAGGTGTAACAGGTGATAGTAACAACATCTCTCACAGGTGTAACAGGTGAGAGTGACAACATCTCACACAGGTGTAACAGGTGAGTAGTGACAACATCTCTCACAGGTGTAACAGGTGAGTAGTGACAACATCTCTCACAGGTGTAACAGGTGAGTAGTGACAACATCTCACACAGGTGTAACAGGTGAGAATGACAACATCTCACACAGGTGTAACAGGTGAGTAGTAACAACATCTCACACAGGTGTAACAGGTGAGAGTGACAACATCTCACACAGGTGTAACAGGTGAGAATGACAACATCTCACACAGGTGTAACAGGTGAGTAGTGACAACATCTCACACAGGTGTAACAGGTGAGTAGTAACAACATCTCTCACAGGTGTAACAGGTGAGAGTGACAACGTCTCACACAGGTGTAACAGGTGTGAGTGACAACATCTCTCACAGGTGTAACAGGTGAGAGTGACAACATCTCTCACAGGTGTAACAGGTGAGTAGTGACAACATCTCACACAGGTGTAACAGGTGAGTAGTAACAACATCTCTCACAGGTGTAACAGGTGAGTAGTAACAACATCTCTCACAGGTGTAACAGGTGAGAGTGACAACATCTCACACAGGTGTAACAGGTGAGTAGTAACAACATCTCACACAGGTGTAACAGGTGAGAGTGACAACATCTCTCACAGGTGTAACAGATGAGAGTGACAACATCTCACACAGGTGTAACAGGTGAGTAGTGACAACATCTCTCACAGGTGTAACAGGTGAGTAGTAACAACATCTCTCACAGGTGTAACAGGTGATAGTGACAACATCTCACACAGGTGTAACAGGTGATAGTAACAACATCTCACACAGGTGTAACAGGTGAGTAGTGACAACATCTCACACAGGTGTAACAGGTGACAGTGACAACATCTCTCACAGGTGTAACAGGTGAGTAGTGACAACATCTCTCACAGGTGTAACAGGTGAGTAGTAACAACATCTCTCACAGGTGTAACAGGTGAGTAGTAACAACATCTCACACAGGTGTAACAGGTGAGTAGTAACAACATCTCTCACAGGTGTAACAGGTGATAGTAACAACATCTCACAGGTGTAACAGGTGAGTAGTGACAACATCTCACACAGGTGTAACAGGTGAGCAGTAACAACATCTCTCACAGGTGTAACAGGTGAGAATGACAACATCTCACACAGGTGTAACAGGTGAGTAGTAACAACATCTCACAGGTGTAACAGGTGAGTAGTAACAACATCTCACAGGTGTAACAGGTGAGTAGTAACAACATCTCTCACAGGTGTAACAGGTGACAGTGACAACATCTCACACAGGTGTAACAGGTGATAGTGACAACATCTCTCACAGGTGTAACAGGTGAGTAGTAACAACATCTCACACAGTTGTACCAGGTGAGTAGTAACAACATCTCTCACAGGTGTAACAGGTGAGTAGTAACAACATCTCACACAGGTGTAACAGGTGAGAGTGACAACATCTCACACAGGTGTAACAGGTGAGAGTGACAACATCTCACACAGGTGTAACAGGTGAGAGTGACAACATCTCTCACAGGTGTAACAGGTGAGAGTGACAACATCTCTCACAGGTGTAACAGGTGAGTAGTAACAACATCTCTTACAGGTGTAACAGGTGAGTAGTAACAACATCTCACACAGGTGTAACAGGTGAGTAGTAACAACATCTCACACAGGTGTAACAGGTGAGTAGTAACAACATCTCTCACAGGTGTAACAGGTGAGAGTGACAACATCTCTCACAGGTGTAACAGGTGACAGTGACAACATCTCACACAGGTGTAACAGGTGAGTAGTAACAACATCTCTCACAGGTGTAACAGGTGAGTAGTAACAACATCTCTCACAGGTGTAACAGGTGAGTAGTAACAACATCTCTCACAGGTGTAACAGTTGAGTAGTAACAACATCTCACACAGGTGTAACAGGTGAGTAGTAACAACATCTCACACAGGTGTAACAGGTGAGTAGTAACAACATCTCACACAGGTGTAACAGGTGAGTAGTGACAACATCTCTCACAGGTGTAACAGGTGAGTAGTAACAACATCTCACACAGGTGTAACAGGTGAGAGTGACAACATCTCACACAGGTGTAACAGGTGAGTAGTAACAACATCTCACACAGTTGTAACAGGTGAGTAGTGACAACATCTCACACAGGTGTAACAGGTGAGAGTGACAACATCTCTCACAGGTGTAACAGGTGAGTAGTAACAACATCTCTCACAGGTGTAACAGGTGAGTAGTAACAACATCTCTCACAGGTGTAACAGGTGAGTAGTGACAACATCTCTCACAGGTGTAACAGGTGAGAGTGACAACATCTCACACAGGTGTAACAGGTGAGAGTGACAACATCTCTCACAGGTGTAACAGGTGAGTAGTGACAACATCTCACACAGGTGTAACAGGTGAGTAGTAACAACATCTCTCACAGGTGTAACAGGTAAGTAGTGACAACATCTCACACAGGTGTAACAGGTGAGTAGTAACAACATCTCACACAGGTGTAACAGGTGAGAGTGACAACATCTCACACAGGTGTAACAGGTGAGTAGTAACAACATCTCACACAGGTGTAACAGGTGAGAGTGACAACATCTCTCACAGGTGTAACAGGTGAGAGTGACAATATCTCACACAGGTGTAACAGGTGAGTA